ACACACACACTCACACACACACAAACACACACAGAGAAGCATGACAAATTTACATCTTGCATGTGTAGAAATGTTTTGCAAAGCGAGGTTATAAGAATCAACACTTATTCAGTGTTTGAATGTTTGTGCAATAAGAGCATTCACTGTTACTGAAACTTTCATATGGTCTTCATCAGCAAATTTACTTTTTTTTGCAGTTGTTATGGATCGTTCGTGTTCGAATTTCCATTTTTTGTGAGCACTGTTGGAACTTTTACACACTGACTGCAAAGCAATAATTAATTGATTCAACACTAATTAAAAGATTGAAAGAAATGTCTGTTTGGCAGCTTTTCTGTGGACTCACTCATTCTCTCGAGAACTGTAGCTCCCTTCTCTCTGGCAGGAATCAAACGTCACTCTTTCCAACTAGTTCAGAGCAGCTCAGCTTCTTACTGGTTTTAATAGACGACGTCACAGTACACTTATCCTGGAAATTGTTACCGGTCACTTGTAAAGCCTTGGTCTGGCAGAAATGTTGACCCCCCATATGAGCCAGGTTGCAGCTTTAGATCCTCAGGTGGCCCCTCGGTTTCGGAACGACCTGCCTGATGAATTGAGGCTTGCCGATTCAGAGACTTCTTTTAAATAACTTCTTGAAACCAATTTTTACAGATCCGCCTCCATCTGTTTAAGTTTTATTCTTTTATGTGGATATATTTGCGCTTATGTCATTTTCTTGTTATGTTCCTATTCTTTTTAGTTGTTATTGCTTCATTTACATGACATCATCATCTAAATGCTTTTATTTATTGATGAATTGTTTGTATTTGTCTGGCAAATCCTTGTTATTTAGAAACGCTATATAAATCTAATTATTAACAATATTGTAGAGATATTTCTTGATGAATGTAAAGACACTTTCTTTTAACAACTGAAATCCATAACATGTGACTCACGTGAATTACCATCTCTGTGTTTGTATTTAATTCTCCTCCGTCCAGGTTTCTGTGATCCTGACTCTGATGGTACCCTACAATGAGATTGATGCCGACGCCCCGCTCATGGAAATGTTCGCCGTGCACGGCTGCATGTTTGCCAAGTACATCGTCGCGGTCGGCTCCATAGCCGGACTGACCGTGTCCTTGCTCGGGTCCCTGTTCCCCATGCCCAGGGTCATCTACGCCATGGCGGGGGACGGCTTGCTGTTTAAGTCAGTGAACGCAGTTATTTTAGTGCTCCTCGCTTTTCATATCAGTCTCCGTGATGATTGTGTTTTAATCTACTCATCTTTGTGTTTAGGTTTCTGGCGAACGTGTCTTCCTTCACAGAGACCCCTGCTGTTGCCTGCGTGGTGTCGGGCTTCCTGGCCGCCCTGCTGTCGCTCCTGGTCAGCCTCAGAGACCTCATAGAGATGATGTCCATAGGAACCCTGCTGGCCTATACCCTGGTGAGCGGTGGATAATGAAGACCCACACATACGTATGGACCATATGGACACTTGCTGGGGTGTTGCTGGCTCAATATTCTTAGCTCGCCGTGTTAAAGAGATTTATTCTCACTGCTTTAGAACCTGTGGACTCACAGGGGGCCAGTGTTCACACAGCATGGTATTTCTTGGAATGGCCCTGAGGTTTCTTACATCTAATCCCTCCAGCACATGAATTACACAGAATGATGTGACAGCTGTAAACATACATAAAGTGTGGGGATTAATATATATACACATGGGGTTTTGGTAATGGAGGGAGCTGCAGAAACAAGCATTGACGTCATGGGAATTCCTCCAACTTGTTAAAAAGGCTCATTTTTGCTCTTGCATGAATGTGATTGGATAAAAGTGAACATCTGATCTGCTGATTTTTTCAAATCTTTTCGCTATTAAGTAGTTTAACCTTGTGTTCCCCCGTCGGTTGCAGGTGAGCCTCTGCGTACTTCTCCTACGTTACCAACCCGAGGGCGACATCCACGGCTTTGTGAACTTCCTCTCCGAGGAGCAGAACAGCAAGAAGAAGGAAGGCGTTCTGGCCGAGTGCGAGAAAGACGCCTGTTCGCCAACCAGCGAGGCCGACGAGTACGGAGGTCCGCCCACCAACACCTGCGGAGCCAAAAACCTGCCGTCGCTGGGTGACAACGAGATGCTGATAGGCAAACCAGACAAGAACGCCTACACCGCCAGTCACCCCAACTACGGCACAGTGGATATGACCACTGGCATCGAGGCAGAGGAATCAGAGGGCGGGGTGTCCAGGCGTTTAAAGAAGCTGATTGGACCACGCTACTACACCTTGAGGATCCGATTGGGCCTTCCGGGAAAGATGGACAGACCGACTCCAGCCACTGGGAAAACTGTCACCGTGTGTGTGCTGCTGCTCTTCATCTTCATTTTCGCTTTTTGCTCCTTCATCATATTTGGTGAGAGCACGCTATCAGTACTAGCATTTGATTTTATAGTAAACTATAACTATAAATTTAATCTCTCTTTTTTTTCTGGACTCCTCTCCCTCCAGGAGCGAGCTTCATCGGAGAGGGTCGCTGGTGGGCTTTGCTGCTATTAATCGTTTTCATCATCGTCCTCGCCCTGCTCGTCATCATCATCCTCCAGCAACCGGAGAACCCTAAGCGGCTGCCCTACATGGCGCCCTGTGTGCCCTTTGTCCCTGCTTCGGCTATGCTGGTCAACATTTACCTCATGCTCAAGCTGTCCGCCATCACCTGGATACGATTCTCAATCTGGTGCTTTGTGGGTAAGTGACAGATTCGCTGAGTGGAAGTGTGCGTTAAAGTCATGTGTCCGTCGCTCCCAGAGTATCTTTATTTCCACCAACAGATGGGGACTGCCCATATAAACAATGACTCACCTCGGTTGATCTTAAACAATGGAGTGATAACTTTCATTACTCTCGACAGTGACTCATTCCTCCGTGAGCCAGTAAAACCAAAAGCTCACTTACTCGCTTTGTTTGTTTTTTTAATGGAAGAACAAGAAGTCTCATTTCACTTTTATTTCCTGTCTGTGTTATATCTTATCTGTGCATCTGTATTTGTGTGTGTGTGTGTGTGTGTGTGTGTGTGTGTGTCATTCATAGTGTGATTTAAGTTGAGTGTTTGTGTTTTTTAAAGTTACAGTTGAGCTTTTAAAATGAAACAAAAAGAACTAACACCCTGCATCTGCTTTTTCTGTGCCCGGTCTGAACCTCCCTGATTGTAATGGGTTTGTTGGCCTGGGGTGATGCTGGTTGCAGCTTTCTTTCTGAAACTTTAAAAGTGACCTGCAGTACTTAAAGGTCCAGTGTGTAAGATTTAGGTGAGATGGAACTATTGGCAGAAATGTAATGTAGAATAATCCTCATGATGTTTTCATGAGTTCATTTCATCTAAATTGTATGAATTGTAGTTTTCTTTGACCCAGAAAAGACCCTTTATATTTAAATGCTTTATATTTACATTGAGGGGACCCTCTCTACAGAGGCCGCCATGTTTTTTACATTAGTCCAGACTGAACAAACTAAACACCTTTTGAGTTTTTATGACAATTAAAGGCTGCCACAGTTTCTCTCTCATGTTTGTAAGGAGAGGGTGAGGTGAGGGGTGTTCAGCTGCAACATGCAAATTCAACACTAGATATCACACAATTCTACACACTGTACCTTTAAGTCACGGCGAGTAAAGCCTGACTGTGGGACTCAGTACGCAGAACCCCGAACTGGAGAATCCGTTGTTGTTGTAACTGTTGTGAATTTGTAAAGCTTGAAAACTTGTTTATAATGAACGTATTGCATGACTCTACCGTGGGCCCTTAACTGTCTCAAGATATCCCACAGAGATTCGGGGAATTAGTTGATACTGTAGAAGTGTGTGTGTAATGATCAATCAATCACTCAGTCCATCTGTGTCCTCTCAGGTGTACTCATCTACTTTGGCTACGGCATGTGGAATAGCACTCTGGAGAAAACAGCCCGAGAGAACGAGGTGCACGCCTCCACCTACCAGCGCTACGACACAGGCGTGGACGAAGGCTTCTGCGGTTTCGATGACGATTTCTACCCTCCCACCACTGAAAGCTGGGGTGCGTCTGAGGGGGGGGCGGGGCGCGCAAAGCCCCCTCAGGCAAAACCTGAAAGTGAAGGGATCTCACCTAAAGGTGGTGGCAGGACCGTGGCCAATCACGGCCTCGCCGAGGAGGATCCCATGGATTTCTGAAGGGACTGACTCTGTGTTAACCCTGAATGTACTGCCTTGTCTGCTGCCTGGGGGACGGGAAGGGGAACTGCAGTGTGTGAGTGCATGGATGGTTGGTTGTTTGTGTGCGTGTGTGTGTGTGTGCGCATGCCTGCATGTGTGTGTGTGTGTATGTGTATATATGTTTATGTCTAACCCTTGGGCTAGATTGTTTCTCGGCAGTGGAATGGCTTTTCTTTCACCGCAACTCCCCCGCTCTCGGTTCCCCTGCTCACACAAGAAAATGTGGATGTCAAGGTTGTGAGTATCTCATCACAGTCACTTGTTATTCACTTAGCAGAGTCCACATCCCACACAAGGAGAAAGGCCAGACAGAAAAGTGCGGACACAGCGAGAGATTAAACACAATGTGGTGTATGCAGCAATCACTGTTAATATCTATGAGTTCATGGGATACAGGAGAGAAGAAGGTGATGAGCGAGAGACAGATGAATCAGGACCTCGTTTCCTGTTCACACATAGATGGGCAGGAAAGTTAGAGAGCATGCCAAGCCCAAGTTATTTCCTACATCCAGGTTAGACTTTCTTCTGCTTGTTTTATTTCCAACGAACAGAACAGGACAGGACAGGGCAGGACAGGACAGGACAGGACAGGACAGGACAGGACAGGACAGGACAGGACAGGACAGGACAGGACAGGACAAGACAGGACAGGGCAGGACAGTCTCACATGCTGCCAAATGCCACAAAACTCAAAAACATACATTCTGTGCATCTGTGAAATGTTTCCTCTGACCCCCAACATCTAGCCCAAGGGACTCTGGAGTGCATCGGGAAAAGGGTGTCGATGTTTTTTTGTGACAAAAAGTACTTTTGGACTTTGCTTGCAATAGTGCCTTCATCTACTGTAGGTGTACGTGAGTCTCTGATTACGTCTATTTTCTACTTTGATTTTGCGTCGTGTACGTGCGAGGGTGTATGTGCAATCGAACTCCACTTTTACATCGATTCTCATGTCCGTGTGTGTCAATATAAAGCGTGTTCTTCAGATTATTTTGCTGTGGACGTGCATGTATGTGGTTCTTTTTCCCGTTCTTTCCGCTCTCTACCCCAGCATGAAGCTCAAAATCAATCCACTCGCAACAAAGCAACTCGTGGTGCAAAATAACACATGCTTGTCAGCTCCTGAGTGCAGCTGCCAGGAGGAGAGGAGGAGAGGCTGTAACACACGCAGAGAGAGAACAGGTTGAATCCTAACGTGCATGTTTTGTTCTTACGAATATCATATTTTCTGTGCACTTGCTTTTTACCAGAGCTGTGAAGGAATTCATTTTGAGTTCATTCAGTTTGGAAAATTCATTTTAGATCGAAAAGAAAAACAAAATTAGGTGCGATCAGTACTTTTGGAGGAGAAAAGTAAATTTTATCTCATCACAGATTTATATTTTACTCAAAAGAGTAATTGTATATTGTTTTAAAAAAGAAATTGCATTATTATTTTCATACATTGGGAGTATTTCAGTGATGCTGTGAAGGGAAACATATGTTTCAACCGGCCTCCCTGCACTTACAGTCTTATTTAAGAAAATCTTAACATTTAAAGAATAATCGCTAGAAGTATAGTATATATAGTATAGTATATATAGTTTAGTATATATAGTATAGTATATATAGTATAAGTATTGCTAGAATAAAGTCGTGATAAGAAAGTTGTGATAATATGACTATAAAGAAAAAAAGTTCTTTCAAAGTCCTGATAATATGGTTCAGAGGAGCCAAAGGACTAAGTATTTTGCTATTTGTAAAATCTATACCAAAATATAACTTAACAAGTTATAAAAAACGGTTTTCTCTGCCATAGAAAAGGAATGTGTTATGAATACGATGGATTTTTATTTTCATATTGACTGAACTGAAATTGAATTCCTCCTCCATCCCTCCCCCTTCCTCCTCCTCTCCTGGTCATCGCTCTTTTCCCCTCCACTTCCCTGTCCACGTGTTTTTTATACTTCCATCACTCCTTCGCTCTTCCGGCTCAACTCTTCCTTCATTTACTTGCCGCCTCACCTCCCCCTTGACATCCATCAGGCAATGTCAGCAGGGAGTTATCACTGCACGTCACAAACGATACGGACAAGATCGGTTTCCAGTCACGACTCGAAGCAGCGATCCCTCCGCGGCCTGTCGATCCATTAGCTACTGTTTCACCTCAGGGTGTCCGCTATCCGTCTTCTGATTTCTCATGCGAGCATTTACTCCCCTCCCTCTGGCTCTGCTCTAAGCCCAAAGTGGTCGGACTGAACCCTCTGAACACTTCAGTTTCTTATGCATGTAGCTAACGTTGACGTACAACTTTACACGTTACACCTACTCTGTCGCTGCACCCTGAGGTATTGTGAAAATCAAATCAAATCATGGTCCTGTACAGCTCACTGTGTGGGACACGTAAATTAATGCTGCCAAGGTTAGAGGTTTGACTCCATATCAAGAATGTATGCACTCACGGCACTGTACGGGATTCTAGCACACACCAAATAGCATACCGTCGAGGGTGGGGGGGGCACGTCGACTCTACTGCTGCTGTCTGCCCTGATTGTCCTCCTTGTACCTTCTCCTCGTGCCCCCTGTTGCTGCATCTGTCCCTTCCGGGGAAGCCTTACTTGTCTAATGCACTAAAATCAAAGGATGCCACGCAGAACCCCCCCACCCTACCTCTGCTCCGCTCACACTCACTTCAAAAAAATCATCCTTCCTGTATGAATAGGTCAGAGTTAGTGTCGTCTGGTGAAAAATTAAAATAAAAAACAGCCCTGAGGACTTAGTCGCTGTCGTATTGGATGATTCTGCAGCTTCACACAGCAGAGCAGTGTGCCCATAGTGTGAGGGTGATCTGGTGAGGTTCCTGTCAAACACCAACCATGACTGGAGCTAATATTTAAGGTCATGTCATGAACAGTATTTTTAAACTCTATATATTTCTGGTATCTCCCCTGACCCCAAATTGTCTCTATTAACCACTATCGGGATATCTGTATATTCCACCTCTTTTTACTTTTACCTGGGTGCAACCAAAGCCTGCTCAAACGTGATTGGACGAATCAGAAAATGAAACCAGAAGATTTCCCCAGATTGCCCCAAAATCTTTTCCTAAGGATATTGTAGATATGGATATTCGAAAAAAAACAGGTTTTGCAGAATCACCCCATATTGACAATTTCAGCTTGCGACAGGGTTGCAAAAGAAGAAAAAAACCAGCACAAACAGGACGATTTCACATATTTACTGTTCTACTATTCAACCAAAATACCTTCCCCACCCACCTCACCTCCCAACTAGGCCAAAAGACTTTCAGCCACCGCTTTGCATTCACATCTCAGCAAAATTAAGGCGGCGTCACGCCTCCGACACTGAACTGTACAGTAACCTTTCTGTACTATATCTGCTTCGTGTGGATGCATAAGAGTGCGTGAGCGCATGTACTGTATGTGTGTGTTTGTGGTCAACGCCTGCGCCTCAATGTGACTGTCCGGTGAGCATGCTGTCATGCACGAGGCTGAACTGTAAAATGTTGTACTTGCATGTGGTGACTGAGCGCAACAACGAGACATAATAGAACACAGAACTGAACCAAACGCAGGCTTCGGTCTCATATCTGGGAATGTGCACGTCCTCTGAGACTCAACAGGTGTGTTACAAATCAATCCGCCATTGTTCAGGATCTTTACCGGTGCAGTGAACTAAAAGACAACGTGTTCGCTGCACACAGAAATAATTTCTATTCAGATTCAAGCCTCAAACTATTCTTAAACTTAACAGCCCAAAGTTATGCTTAGTGAATTTTGTGAAGCAAAAGATTAAATCCAAAACGTTACATATTTTCTCCGGTACTAAGCTCTTGATGTATTCTCACCCAGGTATGGGAAGCAAGGCCCCGTTTGGAAAAGGGAGTCGAACATGTAGCAAACACTCGGGTGTGGGAGCGACTTCTCTCACATCGTCCCTGCACCACTTAAAGTAAATATCTACTTCCTGAACATCCCTTTGAACGATCACATCCTCTGCAAGCCAAAGTCCACAATCTCTGTCTCCTGTCCACGTACAGGAGACTGTAGATTCTTTAACGACAACACTTAAGATACAACAGAGCTAATTTTCCTGCTGATAAGCTACTAATCAGAAGAAGACTGACTTCTCTTTCTTCTCTCACAGTGCAATGGTCATTTTAAAATAAAATCCTAGTTGTATTTCTTTGAACGATTGAAAGTATTAGTTTGGACTCATCCAGCGGCGATACGACACAGAGGGAAAAAAAAGTTTGACACTGAAAGAGGAGTAAACGAAAAGAAAAAGTATTTTTCTACAGCTGTTTTTCCGATCCACAGACCCTCCTGGGGAAAGTGTGCACAAAAGGCCAGGGTGGAGTTTAATCAGCCTTCACTCTGTTTCCTTTAGTCACGAGGAGGCCTGGGAGAAACTGCTAAAAAATTTATTTTTAACAACCGTAGTTTAAACTACTTTGTAAAATCGTAATCCTTTCCTTTGAAGGATTTTGAAAAAAGGACGTCAGTAGGACTGTAGAAGGTCTAGGTGTAAAAGTACCACAGAAAACATGCAGAAACTATTTTAATACAATTCTATAAAGGGTGAAATACAAACACAATCTAAAATCGCCACCACTGTTTTTAAAGTTGTTTATTTTGTCTCGGAGAAGACGTGCCATGTTCTTCCTGTGCTCTGTGCTCGCTGTGGCCGAGTGTCCAGTCAGTGTGTGTCGGACTTGTTGAGATTGGCTTCTATATACAACTATAGATATTTGTTTTCTCTTCTATATATTTTGGCACAAAGTTGTATAACGTAGTTTTTTATGTTTTGGTTTTTTTAATGGTTTCTTCCATACGTGTGGTTACTTTGCTCCTGAGTGCACTGTTTTTGCTGAGTTGTTGATATTGTTTCCATGCAACAATGAAAGTTATTTATTGCAAATACCAAAAAAAAGGCTTCCTCATTTATTTACACACAAGATGAATACGCACATAACCCGATCGCTCAATACTATCATTTATTATTTATTCATTTTGAGCTAGAATGGCTCTCAGTAGCGTGCATATACCGACCAAGGCCCAACAGTCCCCTTAAATTCCATCAAGCTGCACCAAATTCAGCCCACTCATAGACGTCAGTCCTCTAAATATGGCTCTTTGAATTAAGATTCATGAATTAGTCCCTGGGACAAATCTCTCTTCATGGATCCACACCCTGATGTTGATCTGCACCAAAATTGAATAGGTTCAGTTTTACAGTGAGATTCACAGGTGTTTGTTAGAGTAGGTAGCAGGTGGTAGTGAGTCAGGATAGTGACAGACATGCCAGTGTGCATGTTAAGCTAAGCTAACTATCTTCATTCTTACTGCCCGTGGGAGCGGTATTTATCTTCTCTTGGCTGAAGAGCAGAAAAATGCACGTCCCATTTCAATGACTCAAATGTTTCGCATCTGTAACTTTTCAATTGTGCTAAATGTAAATTCAAAACATATCTAACCGATAAAAACAACCGTTCTTGAGCAACTGCTTGTGTCTTTCTGGAACTGTGAGAAAAATCCATCATTTAAGAGGCAGAAATCCCCCCCCCCCCATAAAACCTCCAGCAGCCTGGAGCTACAATAAACCAGAGCACTACTGTGTTTTGATAGGAGGACTTAACTTTCACTCCCTCCTCACTGAGAGACTCACTGCTCAAAAACTATTGCTTTGATTTTTACTCTGTCTAGCTTCACACACACACACACACACACACACACACACAC